TCATCTTGGGTCAAACAAAACGTTCGCTGATCAACTTGACCGTAGCACGTATACCAGGATGAGACAAGGAATGCAGATGTTCAAACAAAGGTTTTCGACAACTTAGTGGGACAAAAGGTCTATGAACGCCAGTTGAAACATCGCAGACGATGGTTGTATCAGACAGGGGAATAGGTACGTCCTGCAACTGTAGGGAGGAGTTTCGACTGCAAGAATGAAGTTCGGCGTCATTTTTCTGCAGCTTGGCTATATTGTTTAAGCTAATATCTATCGAAGATAGGTGATTAACGTCACATCGAGATAAAGAATCAGCTACGATACTGGAATCTCCTTTGATGAACTGGATGTCTGTTGAGAATTGTGAGATGTAATCCAGTTGTCTGGCTTCTCTCGGAGAGTGTCTATCCAACGAAGTGGCGAAAGCGTAGCAGAGAGGCTTATGGCCCGTTAAGATAGTAAAATGTCTACCTTGTAGTAGGAAGCTGAAATGTTTTACTGCTAGGTAAATGGCTAACAGTTCCCTGCTAAATGTGCTGTAACGAGTTTGTGCAGGTTCCAACTTTTTGGAGAAGAAAGCAAGTGGAGTGGTGTCATTATTGAACTTTTGTTGTAAAACTGCTCCCACTGCTACCTGCGATGCATCTGTACATAAGATGAGTGAAGCTTCTGGATTGATATGAGATAACATTACGACGTTGGATAAGGCATATTTTGCGTTATAAAATGCTGCTTTTGCTTCTTCAGACCACTGAAATTTCTTTGAATTGCGTCTAAGTAGGTCGGTCAGTGGCTGAACTATGGAGGCACATGATGGAATAAAACGTCGGTAGAAGTTGAACATCCCGAGGAAACGTCTAAGTTTCTTTAAGGAATCAGGTTCGGGAAAGTTCTTAATAGCTTCTATCTTATCTTCGGTAGGTCTGATGCCTTCGGCAGTTATTCGATGTCCTAAAAATTCGATGGATGGGGAACCAAAAATACATTTCTTTGGATTGATCACAACTCCAAATTGTTCAAATCTTTGAAATAACAAGCTTAAGTGTTCCATATGTTCTTCCATCGATGAGCTGGCAATTAAGACATCGTCGATATATACAAAGACAAAATCAAGACCTTGGGTAACTTGGTCCATAAAACGCTGAAATGTTTGCGCGGCATTCTTTAGACCGAAAGGCATTCTCAAGAATTCGAATAATCCAAAAGGTGTGATAATTGCTGTTTTTGGAATGTCTTCTGGAGCGACTGGTATTTGATGATATGCTCTAACCAAGTCAACTTTGGTAAAAATAGTCTTTCCATGTAACGTCAAGGAGAAGTCGTGGAGATGAAGTGTAGGATAACGGTCTGGTACCGTAGCGTTATTCAGGGCGCGATAATCTCCACATGGTCGCCAGTCGTGATTAGTTTTGGGAACCATATGCAAAGGTGAAGACCATGTACTGTTGGATGGTCGTATGATGCCCAGCTGTATCATATGTTCGAATTCCGACTTAGCTGCCGCTAGTTTATCTGGTGGTAACCGCCGTGGACGTGCCTTCACAGGTTGTCCTGTTGTGATGATCTTATGCGTAACTGTATGAGATATATCTTCGACGTTGTACGACGGTTTAAGGATTTTCGGAAGTCGTTGCAATAAGGTAGAGAACATTTCACTCTCCCGCTTTTCTATACAGATGCTATGAACAGAGTAGTCACCTGTAATACCGTGGATCTTGAGTTGGGTGCAATTGTCAATCAGTTTTTTCTTGCTGATGTCAACTAACAGACTGAAGTGACTTAGGAAGTCTGCACCAAGTATAGCGTGACGTACGTCAGCTACTATGAAGATCCATGTGAAACGTCGGCGTAATCCTAGGTTTAGAATCATTGACTGTTCACCATACGTCTGTATGTTGGTTTGATTGGCAGCGCGGAGTGTAAGTTTACCAGGTATTTTGGCTGATCGCCTGGATAGTGAGGGGGAATAACACTGACCTCGGCGCCTGTATCTACCAGGAATAATGTGCCGGTAGTCAAGTCCCTCACGTAGAAAAGGCGACTGGGATGATTGCCAGTAACAGCCGTCGCCATTACTGCCTGGCTAGGGAGTTTCCCTGAGTTGCGTCGCCACTATTGTACATGCATGGTCGGACACACTTCAGGGCATTATGCCCATACCTCCTATGATACCAGCAAATGTTACGGCTTTGAGACGGTGTTCTAGAACGTCGTTTAGATCTTGGTCGCCGTTGCTTGGATACTGTCTGTGACTGGTTCCGCTGTGCTCGGAGCTCAGATACTTCCAGTCGTAAGTCTTGCATTTGAGATGTTAACTGGGAAAGTAACCAAAACATTGGTGTGTCCTTCATAGATGTGGAAGGGCTTGGTGGTACTACCTCTGTAGACACGCTATTTATGCCATTATTTGATAACACGTCCATGATATCGTCTGCCATCTTAGCTAGTACTTCAAGGTCTGTAGTCCTAGAAGATATTGTTAGGATTTGTTGGACGTTTTGTGGTAAACGTTGTAAGAACATCTGACGTAGAATTAAGTCATCTACTTTGTGTGATCCAATCAACTGGCGCATATGTCTAAGTAGTTGGGATGGCTTTTTTGTACCTAGATCACACGAAGTAAGTAGTTGTTGTATGCGTTTTTCATCGGAGCGGGTGGTCTGCTGGATAAGTGCAGCTTTTAGTTTGTCATACTGAGAGTCTGTAGGCTTGCTGTCTATGACATCGATAACCTCTCGTAGTACTTCCGTGGGTATTGCTGCTAATACGCAACCATACATGGCAATCTGCGACGTAATACCTCGAGCTGCAAACAACTGTTCAATGATTGCGAACCAGACACGTGGTTCAGCCAGATCAAATTGAGGTAGTCTTAAATCCGGTAAGGCGTTATTAGAAGAGTTCTGTGTCTCTTCGCCTTTATTACCTTCTTCAGCAACAGTGGAACGTTTAGGTGGAGCCATTGTCAAAAAATATTTAAGTATAGAGATATACAAAATAGCAAAACGTATGGTAACAAAAATTAAGCAATGCGAGATTAGAAGGTCAAAATAGCAACAAAAATGTTCAAAACGAGTTAACTATCGCAAAAATGTTCAAAAAAAAACGGTTAACCATCGAAGAAAAAAAATGTTCGAAGCGGGCTCACCAATTTTTGTGGTGGAACTTTTGCTCTGTTAGCTTATTTACCCAAAATTCAAATAGAAAACAAAATACCAAATCAGTTGAGTTACGGGAAGAATATATTAAAGTTTTGTTACTTGGGTTTACAAAGATCCAAATTCCACAATAAACGTACTGGATTCCAGAAGTGCTGCGGGAAGACTGCTCCAGTTCTAATTCTCCAGTGTTGACGTTGCCGGAGGTCGACCAAAGTGCGTAGGAAGAGGCTAAGGTTCTCCTGCAAAAATTCGAGATAGAAAGCAGGTTGTTATAATTGATCGACGGCAGTTGAGATGGTGGAGAAGATGGAGAGTCGAAGGCAGAATTATATATTATTTTTAAAACTCGAGGGAAGTTCAAAGTACAGAGTTGTTGGTTAAAACAAAGTAGTATAAATTATGTTCATTTTTTACATAATAGTAAAATTTGGATAAGTTTATTTTTGAGGACTCCACAGGAGCAATTGACATTTAACAGTAAACACTTCCAACAGAGACTGGATGACAAATATCATGCTCAGAAATGCATGAAATGGAGACAACAAATTTCTACGACTGTAGTCTCACATACATCCTACTTCTGGTGTTAAAGCAAAGCTCCTGTTTCCACTAAATC